AAAAAAAAAAGGAACAAAAAAGTGCAGCCTACATATTTACGTTGTGGTGTTGTGATGGAACTGAAGTTCCTACTGTGGAAATACATTTGCAGTTACCCTAAGATCTGATTGTGGTCTTGTCATGACTGAAGTGAGACAATTTTATCTGGGAGAGTGATTGCAGTCTTGTTTCTCAGCTTACACTCTATGTACTCTTAAGTTAAAAAATTTTCCTGTACAGATCTTCAAGTTCACATTTAGCAGCCTTAATTAAAATACAACAACAACAAGAAAAACGAAAAAATAACACTTTTTTTTTTTTTTTTATCCAACTTTCTAGTTTGCTGAATGGTGTTTGGAGTATGGTGCACATGGATGTCGTATTCCTGACCGGCCTTATTCCCTCTTTGAAGGTAAGTGATAGTACAGTGTTAAATGCACAAGAAAGGCTACTTTGCTGGTAGGGTGCATGCTGGGGAGTCAGGAGATCTTTAGTGGGTGCCAGTACCATTAAAAGAGGAAAGGGGGAAAACACCATCACCGCTTTCTGCCCCTCCTGCCAAAAGAGAAGCATCCCACACTTTCTGAATTGTCTTTGAACAGTTTCCGATGTAAAGTCAGTGCTACACTCCTGCCTGTCCTACTGCCTCTTGGTTTAATGCAGGCAAAAAGCCTGGGGGAGGACTGGGCAGGGGAGCAGCAGTGGGCAGGGTGCTGACGTGTCACAGCGGAACCTTCCGTGCTGCATTACTCAAGCAAATAAAGACTACTTTTAACATGAACCAAGATTGCTCTAGCAAAAAAGACATGCTAAATTATTAAGGGATTTTCTGTAAGTGTAAAGGTTTTCCTAAATGTTCTCCCAGAGCTTTTTATTTTTAGATGCAGTTTATTTTTAATCCCTGTATCATAAATCCCTAAGTTTTCAAAGCACAACAGCAAGGAATTATAGCCCAAGCAGGATTTATAGTCTGCTACTCTTTGAAGAGTGAACCTTGTGTGCCACCTACCACAAACACACAAAACTACAGCAGACAAATGAGCCAAGCCAATGAGTTAACACCAAAAAAGCAATAGCTCTATGCATTCTTTCTAAATACAGAGCTATTGTGTTAGTATTTATAGGAGAGAAGCRTAATTATGCTTATTCTGAGGGATTCTTGCATGCATTTGTGGAAGCAAAAAGTGGACATGACATTGGTCCTACCATACTCGTTGAATTTGTCCTTGATACCTGCGTTTCGAGAGAGTTGGTGCCTCATACAATAGCATATTAGCTTGATTATAAAACTGAATTTGTAGCTGTTGTATACAGCAACTGGATGYAGCTGAATGCTGCCCTGCTGTMGGGTGCCTCTTTCTTATGAATGAATGTAGGGTGCCTCTTTCTTATGAATGAATCAGTATATCACAAAAGTATTAAAAGTTTTGCTTTTGTTTCTTTAATGGTAGAATGTCTTTGGTAGATCCTGAATAAGCAGGGTTTTAAGCGAGAGCTGCTGAATTTGTGCTAGATAGTCCGAACAGGATTCTTTTTTTCCTAACTAACTGAAATGGCCCTGAGTTTGTACAGCTGAAAATACAGTATCAGGGAGAACTTTATCCTTGCCTTCAAGCTTTTTAAGTGAAGCTTGATTTCCTGGTCAAAGTACAGATGAGTTTGACTTTCCAGTGGCCAATTCAGCCAATTGAGAGAGCTTACCAGTTCATAAAATCAGAAAGCCAGTTCAGAAAGCTCCAGCAAGGAGATGCTCCAACAGATGTCCTTTCCTTGACTGTCAGCTCTGCTATTTTTATGTCTGAGATGCACCAAAAAAATCTCTTTCTCATTATGTTTTAGGAATGGCTGGAGCTATTCACTTCCTGTCAGATATTTCRGTACCGGAGACTTCCCAGTTTCCAGCGTTTGAACTTGGACCTCAGAGGAGGGAAAACAAAGCAGAACAAGATAGCTAAGGAATTGTTTTGGAAGGAAGCTATTGCCAAAAGCGACGAGACTGTTTTGTGCCTCTGATACTGAAGCAACTCGATCTTGACAGATGGATTACACCTCCTTTTCCCACTCCCCTCTGCCCCAAAGGACCATGAAATCACTAGAGCATGGATGAGAAGAAGCCATGTTTAAGTTCTGTTAGTGACACCTTCACATGTAGGACAAAAGAAGTTGAGTTTGAACTTTCTCTCTTCTGTTGCATTTGTTGTCTTTGGGTCTTTCACATGSTCTGCATGTTTATTGCTGTTGTCTGTTGATACGATGTCTTTTGTTGTGAGCAAAAGCTGTTCTCTGTGTGTTCTCGGTCCTGTCTCTTCACATGTGACTGGACAGCAGTGTTGCTTTCTGCAGACTTGCTATCCACAGAGCTCCACTTTATGCCAGACAGTCCAGGGTAAGACTCTGCCTGGTTTGATTTCTTCACTGGTTACTTTAAAAAGAAGAAAAAGTTACCTACATTCATGTTTCTGCACTTTTCTCTACAACCTCTAAAAGCTGAGGCAAAGGACAGCAACCTTGTTTGAAGAGGTGCTATGAAGTCCCCCCAGTTTTCAGGCATTTGAGATTTGGTGGGACCTGTTGTTGAGCAGAGCAGGAACAGCAAGTTATGCTTTTCCTCTCTGTTTACATGGACTTGTGATAAATCCATCCTGTGTTACACGTACACAAGGAGGTAACGAGCAGTTGTTTCTCATGGCTGGTAACTCTGAATGACTGTYGCTCTTGATCCAGGGAGGTGGTTTGTTCTGTTTCCCCCCAGCCCCACTTCTCTTAGCGCAGATAGTGTGACAGGAGCAGTAGACATCAGCTGCTTGTAGAGACTGCCGAAAACTAAGGAACAGTGTGTTTGTTGCTAGAAATTGTGAGTAAAGTTTATGTCATCTCAAATTCAAAGCAGAARAGAAAAAATCCTTTTCCCTTGGTCCAAACTGTGCTGTCAGTCCTCTGCTTCTCGTTATAGTCTGGTGGTGGTGTGAAATACTAGCTCTTTCCTCTGCTATCAAGGTGTTACTCTATTCTGCCTCCATGCTCTTGATTTAGGAGGAGTGGAACTTGAGAACATTTAGAACACATTTCTGTTTTCCACRTAGTAGGTACACTTACTATTTGAAAAAGGTAAGTGTGTGTAGTGYTTGCTCGTTTATCCCCTGTCCTCTCCTAGCTCTCCCTGTGCTCTGTCAGTCCAGGTGCTTATTTTAATTGATACCTTATATTGGGTGTGAYAGGCGTCAGAGACTTGGTCTGACCTTTCAGGCGTGCACTGGTACATACATGACCCGGGAGCCATCTGCTGAGCTCCAGTATTTGCAATCAGGCTTGGAAATGCAGCACAGCTCCTGCATAAATCTCTGAACAGCAGCAAGTGGCTTCCTTGAACTTTGCAAAAGAATGTGTCGCCAAACCCAGGCGGATGCTAATAATCTCCTGATGAAGTTTTGCTAGGCAGTGACGGCAGCGCCAGGACAGGAACAGCTTAATGTCCCCCTGTAGTGATGTTGGACCAAAGACAGGAGAACCAGGAGAGAGTTTCCCGCTACTCCAGCAAAGGGTAGGGATGAAGCTCTGGACCTGGCTTCATCCATACAGCTAAGCATGAGGGAAGAGCCCTAAATGCTCCAGGAAGGAGGGGAGATGCATGCGAAGCAGCTGCAGGAAATGGGTTTAAGCGGTGAGGGAGGAAGTGGAGGGACTAGTGAGGAAGTTAGGGGAGCAGATTCCAGGGTGTAATTTGCAGCGGGTACCGGCAGGTACCATATCTGATATGTCTCTGCAGCGAGCGCACTAAGTCCGAACTCTGGATTTTTCTTCATCCTGTGTGTAATTGATCCTGCCCATAAATGTTCCARTGAGGAAGCTGGCCCAGGGTGAAGTCCCATGAAAATCTTAGCTATGTGGGCACAACAGGGGAGGTAGAATGAGGCGTGCTCTGCTGTTTGATGTTCTTTTTTTTTTTTCCTTTCCTTTTTTAACAGGGAAGTGTGGTCCCCTTGTGCCACAGGGAGACCTTTTCAGTGCATCCTGAGTATGCGCAGTGCTGGATGCAGAACGAGGCAGGTTGACAGGGATTTCTTTCATTCAGTGATGATAGACTTTCTTGGCTGCTGAGCTTGAATGGCAGCTGTGGGAGGTAATTTTGACTGACAGAGGCCCACTAAGAAGCAAAACTTTCTTGGCTGTTTAAAGAAAAAACGGGTAGGTGTATGTACACACTAGATGAGCTTAAGCCTGAGCAGATCTTTGAGGTGCTTGAATGCAGCAGTCAAAATAATGAGCAAGAGCTAATAATAACAATTAGGTCTTTCTGTATTCGGGCTAGCCTTCTGCTGTGGTTAGGCCTGACATTGTCTTCCTCCAGAAAAGCATGTCAGAATGAAGCAAGACTGGATATGAAATGCAGAAAGTTGGGAAGCTCGGGGTAGTGCATCCACCTTGTGTACCTGGCGTGACTTTCCTTGAGACTCCTCCTCTATGCTTGTGGCATCTCCATCATGTCCCGGTGGCCCAGTAAGAAGTGGATGTTGTGTGAAGGAGTGAAAACATGTATTTTGCCTACATCTTTAAAAGCGTTTTCAGAAAACACATGAAGCTGAAATGTGGAAAAATGTCTTAATACTCCCTCATTTGCCTTGTCTATGGGTAGTAGTTCATTTATCGGAAAAAAAAATTAAAAATGGAGACCCTTTTTTGGGGAGGGCAGAAGAAGAGGGAGAAAATGCTGATGTTTATGTTCTTTGGCTTTCTTAGTAAAGATCAAGCTCTGTGGCAATTTGTCTGAAAACACTCTGCGCTGTGTTCCTTGCGTGCCGCGGCTTCCTTGCGACTGTAGCTGTTCACTGCGGCACCCTCTGCAGCAGCCCCTGCCCTGCCTCTTCAGAAGGCTTGCAGAAGGAAATGGCATCAACATGAGTGAGCTCCTGGGCACATTGCTCTGGCTTTTGTGTTCTTAACCTGTGAACCATTTGTGCTGCTGAGAGCAAGGACTCCAGCCAGAACAGATGCCTCTCTGAATGGCCGATGTGCTTCTGGCTAGAGACAGAGCTCCAGTGTGCTGCTCTCCGGGTACTAGGTGATAGGCCTGGTACCACACATGGCATGTTAGATAGTGGAGCCTTTCTTTTCCTCCTGCCATCTATCTGACAATGTGTTCTGACCACAGCTTCTTGGGTGTAACCACATAGAACCAAGACATCTGTTCTGGGAGGTGGTGATTTGTTTATTAATTTTTTTTTTTTTTAAGTAGAGAACAAAGAGTAATCGTTGCTTTGTGCTTTGCATATTTTGACCACTACTTAGAAAAATGCAGTCCTAGCTGTTTATTCCTGCAGCAGCATAAGCTGTCACAGCACTTGAAAGAAAGGAGAGAGAAAAAACAGCACCGAAAACACAGCTGCTTGTCCCGACGCTGTCTTCTCTGAAGCGGTAATGAAGCACTGGAGCAGGCGACAGCGGCAGTGGCGGGAGCCCTAAACAGAAGTGCCAGGATTGGTGGCCATTCCAGTCAACCCTGCTCCTACACGTGGCACAGCTGAGTAGTCGTCCTGTTCCTTACTGGGCTGGAAGCCACTGCCTTGGACTGTGGGTGAATTTAACCCTTCCTCTGAAAGGGCTGGGGCAATCAGCCACACCAGGGACTGAGTTTACAGGCTTATTTTCCCCTTTGTATTTCCTGTTTGCATGAGTGTAAATCAAAAAAAGAATAAGGTGAGTATAACACAGACGCTGCCTTGGAAGTGAGGGGGAGATTACAGATGGAGAGCAGGTCCCAGTGTTGGTCACCCATGGTCCTTAGGCTGCAGGGATGTGTGGAGCATAAAGCAGAAAGAAAACCAAGGGGAAGATGGTCCCAAAGCTGCCTAAAAGCAGCAAGAGGGAGAGCTAGGAGGTTGGGTTCATGGTCATGGAGTCCCTGTGCGACCTTGTGTGCAGTGCCTGTGCCCAGCACTCCCTGCCTCTGTGTGAGGCTGCCTGTGCCACGCTGTTCGTCACTCACTCTCTGCCTGCCTGTGAGGCTGCCTGTGCCTGGCAGCTCCTCAGCTGCCCCCCGCGAGGCTCCGAGGCTCCGTGTGCCTGGCACCTCAAGTGCGCCCTGCCTCTGTGGGAGGCTGCTTGTGTGCGGCTGCTCCTCATCCGCTCCCTGTGAGGCAGCCCATGCCCAGCTGGTCTTTGCCTGCTTCCTGTCTCCTGAGGCTGACTGTGCCTGACCGCTCTGCACCCATTCCCTACCTCCACGTGTGGTTGCCTGTGCTCGGACAGTCGTTACTTGCTCAGGGTGAGACTGCCTGTGCCCAGCCAGTTTTCACCCACCCCCAGCTTCTGTGAAAGACTGTTCATGCTGGGCTGCTCTTTACTCACACCAAAGTCCCTGTGTGGACATTGAGGCCGTGGAAGGCTGCAGGAAAGTCTGTAGGGCCCTCTGGCCAGGTATGCAAGAACGTCCAGGAGGATGCATGATAGCCCCTGTGCACCCCACCCCACCTAGTATGTATGTAGACCTGTGGAGGCTGCCTATAGGCTTCCTCCAGCCCACTGTGCACAGGGGGTGGGGGGACCACATGTAAGCCTGTAGGTTTCCCTGGCCCACTGTGCAGGGAGACTCGGACAGGTCGCACAATTGCCTGTAGGATCTTCCCGGCCAGTGCAGCTGGATGCAGTGGGAGGCCTCATGAATACTCATACGGCCCCAGCAGCCCAGTGCCCAGAGAGGGCCAGGGAGGCTGCATGAAAGCCTGTATTTCACCCCTGCTCATGTGCACATGGAGGGCTGCCAAGACAGCATGAAAGCACATAGGGCCCTTCTGCCTGAGTGTGTGCAGAGGCCCCGGGAGGCCACACAAATTAGTAAGGTCCTCCACCCCAGTGCGTAAAGAGGTGGGGAGAGGCCAGATGAAAGCTTTTAGGGAGACTATGGGACAGTGTGCTTGGACACACAGGGAGGACACAAAGACGTGCATAGTTCTCCCTGGCTAATGCTAACAGAGGAGATGGGAGACCCCACAAAAATCCAATAGTGCCATGGGGTCCAGTGTGCCCAAAAAAAGTAGGGTCCCACAGCCCAATGTGCCCGGTGCCTAGGGAAGCTGTGTGAAAGCCCATAGAGCACCCTGGCCCACTGCACTTAGAGGGTTAGAGAGACCGTGTTAAAAGGCAATAGGGCCATTAGATCCAGTGTGCAAAGAGGTCAAGGGAGGTTGCATGAAAGCAGGTAGCAGACCGTGAGGCAAAGGGCAGACAGAGGACAGGGGAAGCGACACAAAACCTCACAGGGCGCCCGGAGTCATGTGTGCATGGACGCCTGGGAAGGCCACACAAAAGCCTGCAGGGCCACCGTGGTCAGCTGTGCACGGAGGCCAGGGAAGGTCACAAGAAAGCCCGGAGGGCCTCCGGGGCCATATTTGCGTGGAGATCCAGGGATGCTGCATGAAAGCCCCCAGGGCCTATGGCATCACATGTACATGGAGGTGCGAGGAGGTCGCAGGAAAGTCAGAAGGGGCGCCGGGACCACATGTGCATGGAGGAGCGGGGAGGCTGCAAAATTAGCCGAGAGTTACCCAGGTGTCAAGTGTGCATGAAGACACAAGAAGGCTGTATGAAATCCTGGAGGGCCTACAGGGACATGTGCGCAAGGATGACCGCAGAGGCCGCAAAAAAATTTGAYAGCCACAGGGGCAGGCTGTGCAGGGAGGCCTGGGGAGGCCACAATAAACACAGCAGGGCCCCCAGGCCATGTGCACATGTAGGTCCAGGGAGGGTGCATGAACGCCCACAGAGCACCTGGGGCCATGTGTGTGCACAGATACCTGGGGAAGCCGCACAAAAGCTTGCAGGGCACCAGGGCCAGCTGCGAAAGGAGGCCCAGAGAGGCTGCACAAAAGCCCGCAGGGTGCCCGGGAACAGCTGCGCACAGAGGCAAGGGGAGACCACACGAATGTTGGGAGGAAACGCAAGGATATGTGCACTTGGATGCCTGAGGAGGCAGTATGGAAGATGGAAGAAAAAATAAGGTTACGTGTACACGGATGGCCGGAGAGGTCGTATGAGCGCCTGTAGGGCCCTGGGGCAGCGCACATGAAAAGCGGGCTAGGGCGGAAAGAAATCCCGCAGGACCTCTGGGCTCGTGTGCACGAAGGCCTGGGGAGACTGTACCAAAGACTTTCAGGCCCCCGGAGTCAGCTGTGCACGGAGGTCCGGGGAGGCTGCATGAAAGCCTGCAAGGATGCCGGGGCCACGTGCACACAGAGGCCAGGGGAGGGCGCACGAAAACCCAGAGAGCGCGGATGGCCAGCTGTGCACGGAGGACCAGCGACGGCGCAGGAATGCCCATAGAGTGCGGGGAGCCAGCTGTGCACGAAGGCTCGGGAAGGGCACACGAAAGCCCGGAGGGCGCAAGAAAGTCTGAAGGGTGCGGGGGGTCGGCTGTGCATGGAGCCCCAGGGAGAGCGCACAATTGCTCGGAGGGCAAGGGGGACCACCTGCGCAAGGAGACCCAGGGAGGGCGAACGATACACCGGAGGGTGCGGGGGACGAGCTGCACACGGAGGCCTGGGGAGGGCACAGGAAAGCCCGGAGAGTGCGGGGTGCCAGCTGTGCATGGAGACCCAGGGAGGGTGCGTGAAAAATCACAGGGCCGGAGGGGCAAGCTGCGCATGGAGACCAGATGAGGCCAAACAAAAGCGCGGAGGGCAGGGGGGGGCCAGCTACACATGGAGGCCCGCGGAGGGYGCACGTAAGCCTGGAGGGCACGGGGGACCAGTTGCGCACGGAGGCCCAGGGAGGGCGCACGAAGGCCCCGACGGTGCGGGGGGCCAGCTGCGCATGGAGGCCGGGGAGGGCGCACGAACGCCCGGAGTTCACGGGTGGCCAGCTGCGCAAAGAGCCCCGGGGTGGGCGCACCAAAGCCTGGAGGGCGCGGGGTACCAGGTGCGCATGGAGGCCCACAGAGGGCGCACCAAAGCCCGGAGGATGCGGGGGGGCAAGCTGCTCATGGAGGCCCGGGAAGGCTGCACCAAAGCCCGGAGTTCACGGGGGTCCAGCTGCGCACGGAAGCCCGGAGAGGGCGTACGAAGTCCCGGAGGTGATGGGGGGCCAGTTGCGTATGGAGGCCCGGGGAGGGCGCACCAAAGCCCAGAGGGCACGGCTGGCCAACTGCACACGGAGGCTC